CCTCTGATGCTTCTACAATATAAGCAAAGCATAGCAGTGAAGGCTCTTCATAAATCTACAGTGGTTTGCAACCTCATCTCTCACCTTCATACACCAAAATCTTCACCCTATACATACAATCTCTGATCCAACCATTGAGACCTACTCAAAAATGCTCTTTTGTTTACTACAGCCTCAGTAATGTCTTATCCCACCCCACCTTTCTGCTTGAACTATTGGAACCAGTCCCCATCAGTTCAAAGATAGTCATCTGATAAATCACCACTAGACTCCAAGGTCCATGGGTGCAGATAACTACCTAACACAGTTCTAACAGTCTATGATTAAAATGACTACAGAAGTCTCTAGCAGCAGGAAGAATCAATATTTCAACTGTCAATCATTAGTGAATAATCTCAGGAACGGTTCCAAATAGTGTACTATAATAAGTGAGGCTTGAAGTCTAATGTACTTAACAAAAATGCTACCTGTTGAATCACTTAAATAGAGGCACCCCTAAAACTGTTTAACTGCATTCTCTATAAGATGTCATATTAAATGATTTTTTAAAATTATAATCGGTACAATTAGGTAAACTAAATTTCAAACAGAATCCACTTTCACCTGCTAAAAAGCTCCTGGAAGCAAGCAGCTCGGCACATGAGCTTACTGGCTTACAAAATCCCAAGAAAATCACAAAAGTAACTTTAGTTGTCACTTCACATGACTTCTTCTGATCAAATACCATAATATACTTTTTAAAAAAAATTATTTACTTATTTATTTTGATTTGATGACTTGAATAATATATATATAATTTTTATACAGAAGGTTCTTATTAGTCAGCCATTTTAGGCACATCGGTGTATACATGTCAATCCCAATCACCCAATTCATCACACCACCCCCCCACCACCCGCCACTCTCCCCCCTTGGTGTCTGTACGTTTGTTCTCTACATCTGTGTCTCAATTTCTGCCCTGCAAACCAGTTCATCTGTACCATTTTTCTAGGTTCCACATATGTGCATTAATATACGATATTGGTTTTTTTCTCTTTGATTTACTTCACTCTGTATGACAGTCTCTAGATCCATCCACGTCTCAACAAATGACCCAATTTGTTCCTTTTTATGGCTGAGTAATATGCCAGTGTATATATGTACCACATCTTCATTATCCATTCGTCTGTTGATGGGCAGTTAGGTTGCTTCCATGATGTGGCTATTGTAAATAATGATGCAATGAACATTGGGGTGCATGTGTCTTTTTTTTTTTTTTCTTTTTTGTGGTACGCAGGCCTCTCACTGTTGTGGCCTCTCCCATTGTGGAGCACAGGCTCCGGACACGCAGGCTTAGTGGCCATGGCTCACGGGCCCAGCCGCTCTGTGGCACGTGGGATCATCCCGGACCGGGGCACGAACCCGCGTCCCCCGCATCGGCAGGCGGACTCTCAACCACTGCGCCACCAGGGAAGCCCTGCATGTGTCTTTTTGAATTATGGTTTTCTCTGGGTATATGCCCAGTAGTGGGATTGCTGGGTCATATGGTAATTCTATTTTTAGTTTTTTAAGGAACCTCCATACTGTTCTCCATAGTGGCTGTATCAATTTACATTCCCACCAACAGTGCAAGAGGGTTCCCTTTTCTCCACATCCTCTCCAGCATTTGTTGTTCGTAGATTTTCTGATGATGCCCATTCTAACTGGTGTGGGGCGATACCTCACTGGAGTTTTGATTTGCATTTCTCTAATAATTAGTGATGTTGAGCAGCTTTTCATGTGCTTCTTGGCCATCTGTATGTCTTCTTTGGAGAAATGTCTATTTAGGTCTTCTGCCCATTTTTGGATTGTGCTGTTTTTTTTAATATTGAGCTCCATGAGCTGTGTATATATTTTGGAGATTAATCCTTTGTCCATTGATTCATTTGCAAATATTTTATCCCATTCGGAGGGTTGTCTTTTCGTTTTGTTTATCATTTCCTTTGCTGTGCAAAAGCTTTTAAGTTTCATTAGGTCCCATTTGTTTATTTTTGTCTTTATTTCCATTACTCTAGGAGGTGGATCAAAAAAGATCTTGCTGTGATTTATGTCAAAGAGTGTTCTTCCTATGTTTTCCTCTAAGAGTTTTATAGTGTCTGGTCTTACATTTAGGTCTCTAATCCATTTTGAGTTTATTTTTGTGTATGGTGTTAGGGAGTGTTCTAATTTCATTCTTTTACATGTAGCTGTCCAGTTTTCCCACTTACTGAAGAGACTGTCTTTTCTCCATTGTATGTCCTTGCCTCCTTTGTCATAGATTAGTTGACAATAGGTGCATGGGTTTATCTCTGGGCTTTCTATCTTGTTCCATTGATCTATGTTTCTGTTTTTGTGCCAGTACCATATTGTCTTGATTACTGTAGCTTTATAGTATAGTCTGAAGTCAGGGAGTCTGATTCCTCCAGCTCCATTTTTTTCCCTCAAGACCGCTTTGGCTATTCAGGGTCTTTTGCGTCTCCATACAAATTTTAGGATTTTTTGTTCTAGTTCCATAAAAAATGCCATTGGTAATTTGATAGGGATTGCATTGAATCTGTAGATTGCTTTGGGTAGTACAGTCATTTTCACAATACTAATTCTTCTAATCCAAGGGCATACGATAATATACTTTAAAATTAACCACAGAATCATGGAATTTGGGGAAAGGAACCAAAAACTACTTAGCTAAATTAGGAAAGAAAATGACTACATTTTAGAAGCTAAACCATCTAAACAGTACATTTAACCAAGGCCTGGGGCAGGCTGGTGAGACTAATACAGAATAGGGAATGTTAAAGCAAAAGCTGCCAGGAAAATAAGCACTGTTACCTACATGCTCAAATTAAAGAAAAAGAAAAAAAGGACAATTCTGAAAGCTGCAATGAATATAATCTATCTAGTTATGGCAATTAAAATTCATGAGGACCCGGTTAAGTCCTTCCTAGGTGTTTCTGCAATTGGAAACATTTCTATTTCCTTTAAGTCTGTGTTAAAAGAAAGCAGTAAAATAAAATTTGGAGAGAAAGGGTAGAAGTAGAAGTTCAAAACAGAGGATATATAAATTTGGTAGGCAATTATTTCATTGGTCAGTCATTTTATAAACTATATTAATATAAAATTTTATAAACAAGATGGCATAACAATGGAGATGCAGTGTAATTTATGCAACATC